AATGTGCGGACATCTGAATGAGAAAATAATATATATATATATATATATATATATATATATATAATAAATGGTTTGGATTAGTGAAATATAATACGGAGTGGGCCCTATAAGGGAGGGTGTCCCTCAATGGAAGCTCTCTATATATATAGAGTCCTCTTTTATTGAGGGACACCCTTTAGGGTCCCATACGAATTTTTTTTTTTCAACGATCCAAACAGTCTATTATTCAAATCTTCATTCATAGATCATCCTTACAAATTGAAAATCATTGATAATTGGAATCAACAAAATATACGAACACGGTGCTTCAAGAAAAAAACTATAATAACAACCATCTAATTATGTGGTAAAATGGTTTTAGATTCAAGTATTTTTTTTGCAGATATGATCTTTGAGGAAATATCTAAAAACTAGGCGTTCGGATTATTGAAATACAGTGCATAATGGGGCCTATAAGTGTGTCCCTCAATTGAAACTATATATATATATTGGACATTCATCCATATAATAAAATTTTCAATTATTAAAAATATAAAAAATTAATAAATGTCTTGATCATTTGTCTAATTTCTTGGATGAACAAACTTTTGATAAGGCAAATGTTAAAGCTAAAGTGCCACAAAAGTCACCAAAGTACAAATTTGCCTAAAAAGTTTGCCTATAATTTAAGAGATGTTCTAAGGAATAAAGTATTATATGACATAGTTCTGAGAAAAAAATTTTAAAAAAAATAAAACTGAAAAAATAAAAACAAGTGATTTGACTTATAGAGAAACGAACAATTGTATCTTTATTTGCACTTTTAATTAATTAATTAATGTAGGCATCCACCTGCTTCTTCAGACTCAATTGATTAGCCAAAAAATGTCTAGTTTAAGAGAGATCTCTGAACCAAGCATTTGCCTTGGAGCTTCGTGCGGTCAAATGGGATGTCCTGTGGCTCATGTCGATCTTAAAAAAAATTGTATCTTTGTGAATTTTAAAGTTCATTCGAAATAGATATCAATTAAATAATCACATATGCACACAATGGAAACCTTACTTAAATGAACACTGCATTCAAATTCAAGTTCAAAGATGAGAAGAACTAAAGATTGGTCAAAGAATCACATATACACACAATGGTTAAACTACGTCATTCGATGGAGAGATTATAGAATACTACGACAGTACAATCAAGTGATACATTTTGTACACATATTATAATATAAGTAGATATTTATAAATATTATTCCCTAAAATGAGGAAAAATAAACCCTATCGTCCACCTATATTATAACACGTGTACAAAATGTACCACATAACCGTATTACCATAGTATTCTATAATTTCTCCATTCAATAGGTTGACCTTCCAAAAAATAATAAAAGTCTTTGAGATAATTTGTTTTAAATCACATAACTTTTTTTATATTAACCATTAAATTTCATTTTAACACTAATTTCTCTCAACATGAGAACTGGAAAAATTCTTTATTTTATTTTACGTAGGTTACTCTTGATGTAGTAGAGACCGTGTTGAGTCCGAGGATTAGAGCATGTGGCTATGAACCATATTGTTTGGAATTCAAATCTCTTCTCGCCCACAATTGATCACAGTGTTAATAAAATTATATACTTTTAAATGGTAAGGAGTAAAGAGTCATTTCAGTAATAATATACTTTGAATCATTATTACTTAAGTTCCAAGTAACTGGTTTCTGTGCTCCACGTAAGACTTGTGTACATCACATAGCGTCGTCTCGTCTACCGTTATGAATTTTACAATGACACTTCTGCCCTCAAGAATGGTAGAGTGAATTGAACAAAGCTCCTAATTTCATTTGCAATACAAATGGAATTAACTAATCAATTCGTAAAACATTTTGTAATACAAGGTTCATTACGCAAAATGATTTAAAATTTTCGCCAACTAACTCTTGGTCTAATTGTATTTCTCTTTCCAACATTGAAAGATGTCCTAAATTTAACCAAGGTGGTTGGTGTGAGTGGTTCGGCACTCTCATTTCTTAAAAGAGGTCAGGGGTTCGATCCCTACTCTTGTACGGAGTCACCACTTTGCCCAGCACTTTACCCCTTATGGACCGACCCGGTGTGAGCGGGGATTAGTCTGGGTTATGGTTAAGGCTTAAAGGTGCCACTCATAGTTGGGGCCCATCCAGGACCACCTCGTGATTCAGACCAAAAAAAAAAAAAAAATCCTAAATTTGAAATCCCAAACTTATTGATAACAAAAAGAAAAATCCAATAATATTTTTTGTATTTTCATTTTTTTAAATAAATTTTTTTTTTCACTTAAACATTTCATCACTCATATATATATATATAATTTTAAAAAAATCCATTTGATCACCCAAGGGGTTAATGACCTATTCCGCACATAAACCAACACGAAAGGTCAAATAATTTACCCAAAAAAACACAAAAAGTCAATTTTGAACAAAATAAGATAATAATATTAATAATAAAAAAACAGCGCGAAATATCACCAACATTTCTCAGGCGCCTTTGACCAAACACCAAACAATCTCACAACATTTGGCAGAAAGTCTCCGGCCGTCCCTCGTGGAGACGAACCTTCTTGTCCTAAAACAAGCGAAGCTCAGTGGTAAATCCGTAAATTCCACCTAAACCCAAGGCTAATTTGGGAATTCATCATCACCTGCCAAAACTCAACGCGTAAAACCGCGCCCTCTGAAACAGAACTGAACCAGTCCACTGAAAATCAGTATAAAGCATAAAGCTTCCCCCAATCCCCCCACACAAACTCTCAATTCAAAAGTCCACAGCAAAAGCTCAGAGAAGCCATGGCATTACGCAGCGGTTTTCCGCTGCTGCACCAGCAATTCAAGGCTCTGTTCAGGAAGAACCTCCTGCTCTCATGGCGGAACAAGAGGGCTACATTTCTCCAGCTCTTCTCGTCCTTCATCTTCATCTTCCTCATCTTCTGCATCCAGAAAGCGATCGAGGCTCGAAACGCGTCGTCCACGTCGTACAAGAGCGTCACCGATCCTCCATCTCTGGTTTCGCTGCCGATCCCGCCGTGCGAGGACAAGTACTACATCAAAACGCCGTGCTTTGACTTCGTGTGGAGCGGAGATGGGAGCGCTAGGATTCAGAGAATCGTCAGTGCTATCATGGATAATAATCCCGGCAGGCCCATTCCTGCGAGCAAGGTAAGGAGGGATTTGGATTATTGCTGTGTAGAGCTTGGTGTTGTGTTTGGTTGTCGAGAAAATGGGGGAGAAAGTGTTCGGGGCCGTTTTTCTTTTTCTTTTGATTCTGTTTTGTTTGTTTTACTTGGGGAAATGATAACCGTCCGCATTAGTTAGCCACGTCAGCAATGTGGTCTTCGTTGGATTTAGACTAAAGGCATATAATTTGTTTATTTTTACCATAGGCTTAGAATTTTTTACCAAGGGCACACGGCCCATTTCCAGTTACTTGAAAATAAACTGTTCCACTTTGGGCTTGAATTTGATTCTGACTCTGCAAATTGATTTTGCTACAGCATCAATCTGATTGTTTTCTCTCCAGCAGTTTTATTGTTAGCTCATTTAAGTATATATGTAGCATGCATAATACTGATTTTGGTGATGGTATTGTGTTGCCTGAGCTTGGGATATGAGGGATCTGGGTGATGACAAATTGCTGGCATTGGCTTTTCAGATTTTAGAGGATATATGCTTTACTTGATGCACATGTAAGAATGAAAAGCCAATGCCACCTAGTGCAGGGCTGTTGATTACTCAAGCCTCCATGTAAAACCCCAACAAAGATAAATGATACGCCCTTTTGACCTGATAACCTTTTAAGACTAAACAATGCAAAAATGCCTTAGAAACCTTGTCCGGTATGACCTTTGGACCTGATTAACTTTCAAGCATAAGCATAGATGCAACAAAACCTCATTAAAACTAAGAAGTCTTGATTATATTCATATTCAGTTATGAATTTTTGTTTATATTTCGAATATGGTGGTGACATTTGATATCTTAAGATTGAATTGTTACCATCATTGAGAATCAAAATTTTGGGGTTTGGTTGTTGAAAAATTGAGGCTAAAAGGGGGGAAGGGGGAGAAAAAATTCAAAATGTTAAATCTCATTTATTTATGCTTCACTTAAATAGGTTGGTTCACTGAGTTGCATTAAGTTTCTTTCTTTTGCATTGTTTGTTACTGTTAGGGTGCTTTTGGTTCATGGGAAATGGGGCTTGGGAAAGGGAAATCACAATTGGGTGTGAGAAAGTCTGAATAACAAATATCATGTAATAACTCTTGTCGTGCCTTTTATTTCTGCAGGTCAAATCGTTTAGAACAACAGCTGAAGTGGATGCATGGCTGTATAGTAATCCAATGTATTGCCCAGGAGCGTTGCATTTTATGGAAAGAAACGCCACTGTTATTAGCTATGGCATACAGACTAATTCTACTCCTGTTGCAAAACGAGGGCAATATGAAGATCCTACTTTCAAATTTCAAATTCCGCTTCAGATTGCTGCAGAGCGTGAAATTGCTCGGTCTCTGATTGGAGGTATTAGGCTTTGTTTCTTAAAGTCCTGTGTTACTTGCAGAAAGTTTACTTGCATGATTACCACCCTGACCTTAGCTCTCATATAATGACTTGTTCAGTTCCAAATTTTAGCTGGGTTGTTGCGTTCAAGGAATTTGCACACCCTGCAATGGAGCTTTTCTCTGCATTGGATACAGTAGGACCAACCTTTTTTCTTGCAACTGCCATGTTTGGTTTTGTGTTTCAAATGACTTCTTTGATCACAGAGAAAGAACTAAAGCTTCGACAGGTGATGGCTTTAAGCAGCTTTAAGTTAATGCATAACACTGTCCAGTTAAATGGCTATTACTATTACTAGCCTTGCTGTTCTTTTGCAGAATCAATTAATTATCTGGTGTTTTATTTGTTTCGCCAAGCAGGCAATGACAATGATGGGTCTTTATGATACTGCGTACTGGTTCTCATGGCTCACATGGGAGGGAATCATTACACTACTCTCATCACTTTTCATCGTTCTTTTCGGAATGATGTTTCAGTTTGATTTTTTCCTAAAGAACAATTTTGCGGTCTTGTTCCTTGTCTTCTTTCTTTTCCAACTCAATATGGTAAGACTTCTTCTTGCAAGTTTGCGATTACTTTTTTTAATTCATTCTAATTCTTTCTGATTTATGTTTTTAAATAAGCCTCTTGGTTTTATTCATAACCTCTGATCCTTCCTCTCTAACATTTCATGCCAGCTAGGTTTTGCCTTTATGTTGTCGGCCTTCATAAGCAAGTCATCTTCATCCACAACTGTGGGTTTCTCCATATTTATTGTTGGTTTTATGACCCAGGCAAGATTCCTCAGTTCAAGATTTATATATTAGGAATTGTTGGTTCAATGGTACTAACAGAATCCATT